TAGCTGAAATTATGAACCATACACTAGTCACATTTTCAACTCCCCGATCCATCCGTTTTAGCGAGACCATAATTATTGAAAACACCTTTCTGTAACACAGAGTCTTCTGGCAGAACGTGAACGTTAGCTGTGATTGGAAATGGTACTAGGATACGCACTCCACATCTTAAAAAAAAAACAATCCACTTATTTACTTGACAATATGGGGAATATTTTACCGGCGAGAAAAATTAAGGTACCCGATACAATACGTAAGAAATTTGTGATTGATTTTTGAAAAGATCTGGAAAAAAGTTGCCGCCATTGTGATTGTAAAATATTGACAACATTGCTCTTACAGCTGAGCAATTTCGGCAAGGTAGATGACGATGAAACAGTGATGGCAGAGCACTTCGCTAAATGCGGTGTTGCACGATCAGAACTTGAGCGTTACCACAGTAGTCAGTCGTACGTCAATGTTTATAAACATTTTTCATATTTCTTCATAATTTGCACCGAAAAGTATGCCAGGAGGCTTGTAAATTCGTAGAAAAAATTATTTATATCGTGAGCGATTTATTTGAATTTTTCTATTTTATTTTCCGACACGGTTGCTCACTTGAGTGGCTAAACATCCTTAAGACTGCTGACAGAGTGGAAATTTCAATTTTGTACGTCTTCCACACGAAAAAAAAATTTGCACCAAAATTACTCTCAAACAAAGTCTCCGTACAAGAGACTTTCGTACATGATACTACGCGTTTTTCATTGCGCGTCCGTTCCTTCCACTGCCAAAGCTTCCTCGTTTTGGATGTTTAGCAAGCATGCGCTCCGTATAAAATACCACGGAAATAAATAGAAAAGAAAAAATCATTTGCATAGGACGATTTTTGTACTCGTTATCATAAATTATTAATCATTCAAGACATTTTATTTTTTATTTTTTGGTCTGAAATTCATAGAGAATTGGCAACGGCTTCCCGGTCATAATAAATATGAACTGAAGCCAATTCTCATGTATTTCAAATACAATTGATTTCCTTACGTGAGATAAATGTATAAACAAAAAAAATGTATTTTCTTCCCTTTTTCATACCTGCCAATACGACGAGAATTTCTCGTTTGGGGAATTTTAACCACATGAAAGAAAAAAGAACGCAAAGCTGAAGCACCCTACTTTTTTGTGATAAAAAGAATACAGAACGCCCCAGGAGGCTTCTCTAGCCAAGCTACCGAAACTTGGCTCTCGATCCTCAAACGGCCCTTGTCCAGCTTCGGTTACCTCATGATTTGATAACGTTGGGCCGATACTGGTTGTCGACCATTCGCCGATGAAGGGCAACCATGAGCTGCCAAATACTTATTTCGGTAATTATTTAGTACATTCACCCATGGAATTATACCTTGGACCAAGGCTAAATTGACCACATCACTCGTGTTTACGATAAGTAATTAATCATATAAACACCGTCAATGGGTAGCCTAATACCTGTCGTTGTTCCAAGAGGTAAGAAATTGTGTTCAGTAGTCGGGTCAATTCCTTCGTGGGTGATGGCTAGTATGACGTGTCTCTATAGTCTCCTAGTGTCTTTAGCACCCGTGAAAACCAATGATATCAAAATTATCTGAGTAAATACTTATTCAATCGGAACAGTGACTCTTCATAATTATAGGTGTGAATGATTTTCGACGATTAAGTGACATCACCCATCCCACTAATAGATTGTCTATGCCATTACTCAGTTCTCAACTTCCACATAAAATCTTGATATTCATTTATTATTATCAATTGCCGTATAAGGACGGCGGAGGAAATGTGGAGGTGTAGAGCGAAGAGGCTGTACCTAGTAATCGCATGTTTTTTCCTGAACCGACACTCATCCATCTTTGTGTTTCTCATTGTCTCTAAGTGTATCAACATGTGTTATCATGGGACCAGATACAGCACCACGTCCAAGTCATTGGCACTGGGTGACGCAAAGAGCGGTGAAGTTAGGGTATTTAACTGTTCCCTCTTAATTTCTACACTGGGAACATGCGTGAAGGTAAATAAACGATGTAAAAACACGATCTTGTGGGATTCGTGGAAAATTCCAACCTGGATTAGGGCCAGAGTGCTGATGGGAACCCACTGAATAATTACCCTTGTTTCTAATATTGTAAAAAATCAATAATTCATAATTTTTTAATCATTTAATTATCATTTATCAGCTAATAATTCTGAAGAAAACGATAACTACTGATAATGATGATTGCAAAATTAACCTCTTCGGGATACGATCTTGGAACCTCGACTGTTGAGGCTTTGACTTTACCCACTTGTCCACCGTCGACTTATTAATTACGTTGAAGTTCATC